AAAATCAAAAAAAAAAAAAAAAGGTTCTAAAATGGGCTAAGGAAAAACAAAATGTATTCATTTTTTTCTTTGGATGAAATTTGACTATGGGCGTATTTTCATGAGATTGATTCAGCAGTGCTACCCATTATTTCTACTATTACACAAATAGAAATCAGGTAAATCACATCTAGTTAGGATGAAGTGTCAGAATTACATGGAAGAAATGCAATTTATCACTTATTGCTTTGTCATGTTGTGCCTGGTTAGTATACGTGTCTGTAACGTCTACACAAACATCATTTTCACACATAAACACACATTTCCAGTGAGAGAGAAGATGGGCTTGAAGAATCAACAATACACTGTTTACAGGTTGTGCTCTTAATACGGTACTACTAAACTACAAGAACTACTCACTCATAACTAACTCCACTATGGTGCTCTCTCTCTCTCTCTCTCTCTCTCTTAGTCTCCCTGTCTCTCTCTCAGCAATACAAACGCAGCACACAGTCCCATATGATGCCTTTCAGCTGGAGCCTATAGGGCACATATGAGAGAGCTGTGTCCCATTACACACACACACACACACACACACACAAGCTGAGAGCTGTGTTACACACTCATACACCTTAAAAGGACAGTTCACCCAAAAATGTAAATTCTGTCATCATTTACTTACCCTCGTGTCATTCCTAACCTGACTTTCCGGCCACATACACACTGCAGCTAAATTTGGTTGTCAGTTCACATTTTAATGCTTAAACCAGTTCTCTACATACACAGTTAAATAATTTACAACAATCGCATTTTACAACCAAATTAACTCTTGAAAAATTCAGCCGCATTTACGAAAATTCTATGTAGCGTGCATGGAACAGGGTTGCCAGGTCTGTGAAACAAAGCCAGCCCAATTGCTAATCAAAACTGGCCCATTTTTTTCTGCGGTTTTCCTTTCATCGTTGGCAACACTGGTACAGAACCAAACTCAACAACTAGTTGTTCATGAAGTATTTAAACCTGTGTTAGAGTTGTGTCTTTTCTTTATGTGCAATGCAAGAAATCACAGTGAACGAGGTACGGTTTGACTTATTAGTGTTGCCAGATCTTGCTATAAAAAAACAGCAAATGACGACAAGCCCGTAATGAGCTTAAATACAAATGCTTGTAAATCTTGTAAATAAGCCATATACCAAAATAATGTGACATGCACCTGCCTACTTTATTTACTCTACAAACTGGATCACTTTATGAGTGAAGACAAGCCCAAAGACGCTTAATAAGCATTGCTTATAATAAGTGGACAACCCTTCAAGAGCGTGATCTGCAAATCAGCCTTCCAAACTTAAACAAAACACGACGAGTCTTTGGTCACTGTAGTATTACTTTGATGAGGGTGAATAAGTCTTGACGTAGGTTTCATTTTTGGGTGAACTACTCCTTTGTGAGAGCAGTTTATTTTCTTTATAAGATCATGTTGTTTGCTGTCGTCTCTGAGGCTAAATTCCGCCAGCAACACACACCGACCTTCCTCATGTAGAAATGGAATTACTTGCATCCGATTCTGCCAGATTTTTGCTCAACATTTCAGTCCAGATACCACCACTCTTACTGTATTTTGGGTTTGTCTGTGTTCAGTCAGGTATCAGGGATGTTGTGTTGTTTTTAGCCCCTGCATGTGTTTCTACTGTTGGTGCAGAAATTCAATGGTGCAGCTTCATGGTGCTTTGTTCTCTCTCTCACTCTCTCCTGGCTTGCGTTCTGCTTCAGGTTCAGCTCGGCTACGTTCACACCGCAGTTGTCATTTTTGGCCCAGATTTGATGATTTTGAGGAAAAATCATGTTATCATCTTCCATTTGAGACATTTTCATATGTGGAAATTAATCACGGAACACATGCAATGTGGTTCATGCAATTGTTAACATTCACTACTGGTCAAAAGTTTGGGGTCAAAAAGATTTTTTTTTTTTTTTTTGAAAGATTAATGTGTTTAATCAGCAAGGATGAATTAATAAATTGATTAAATGTGACAATGAAGACATTTATAATGTTACATAAGATTTATACAGTATTTAAAGTAAATGCTGGTCTTAATAAATAATGGAACTTTCTATTCATCAAACAATCGTCAAAAATGTCACTCAATTTTTCAGAAAATATGAAGCAGCACAACTGTTTTCAACACTGATAATAGTAAGAAATGTTTCTTGATGTGACACTGACGACTGGAGTAATGCTGAAAATTCAGCTGTGCATCACAGAAATAAATCAAATTTTATTCAAATAGAAAACAGCTATTTTAAATAGTTTTTACTGTATTTTTGATCAAATAAATGCAGCATTAGTGAGCATAAGAGACTTCTTATGAAAAATCTTACCGACCACAAACTTTTAGGATAATTGCATGGTTGATTTAACCTTGGCATAAATTTGAATAATTTTTAAATTCTACTATATGAGATTGTAATATTTACATAAAATATGTAAATAAACTAAATGTATTCAAATGTCTTTATAGAAAAACTGTGCTGTCTTAAAGTCAGTGGCCACACTGAAAATCTGGGATTCAAAGTGTAATTTGAAAATAAGCAGATTTATTGTTAAAAAAAAAATGTGACAAAATTGATTTTAAAAAATTCCGATTCTGAATCAGGCTCTTGCGATGTGAACATGGCCGTTCTCTCTCATGCTGAACTGCATACGAATCAGCCTACGTGCTAATCTACAGGCTGACTAGTATTGTGTTTCTGCCATTCATGGTTTTTGACAGTCTTGGCATATTCAGTGCTCCTTTGCTCGGGATTCTGGGAAAGTGGCCCATCTGTGTGATGTCATAAAAGCTGGTCACATGGTGCTCCCAGAATCCAGAGTCCTCTTGTGGTGCAAGTGGAGAGTTCACACTTGGATTGCGTGCAAACTGGATTACTGTAAAACTCTACTATGTGTGCTGTTTGATAATCCTGTTTCACATCTGAAATAAACAGGACTCTGGTGCTTCGAAAATAAAGGATTTTTGTACGAATTTGCTCATTCAGTTGGCCCTCGCTGGAGGGAAGAGTTTATACAGATCACATTTCAACCGTGAAATAAAACGTTTTTGGTTTCTCTCTAACCAAGCTAGCACATTGGACTACTTCTTATTTGGGGGTTGCTCATTTCTTCGAACTTTTGACTGACGTGTTGAAAGCTGGTCAGCCAACTCATTACCTGAAAGATGGTTTTGTTTGCAGTTTAGATTCAGATCTGAATTGTTATATCAGTTGATTCTGAAATATGCTTATGGCCCACAGGTTATAGTAAACTTCTGCTTTAACTCATGCTAAGAAACTGAACTTAAAGGAAAACATCCTGCTATTTAGACGTTTGATTGGATTGTTGTTTGATAGTAATTCACTTTGGGCAAACATGATTCAATATACATTATCGCATTTCAGGCGATTTTTATCTAATTTCAGAATACAGTAAGTTTTGAGTTCTCTCAGATCCATTTGACAAGTTTAAATGCAAAAAGTCAGCGTATTCTGTCTAGAAATTACTTGCAGAGAGACTGTCGATTTTTGTTGCCAAAAATGTTATGAAAACACTCTCCAGAAACCTCTCAGAAGAACATGCACTTCCATAACCAGCATGATGTCTTCTGAGTTTTTAAGACAAATCTGACCCTAAACTCGTTCTGACGGCACCCATTCACTGCATAGGATCCATTGGTGAGCAAGTGATGCAATGCTAAATTTCTCCAAATCTGTTCTGATGAAGAAACAAACTCATCTACATCTTGGAGTGCCTGAGGGTGAGGAATTTTTCAGTAAAGTTTCATTTTTGTGTGAACTATTTTTCTTTTAACGCTAACCCAATAATTTCAGATTTTGCTCCGGTATCATTTAGAGGCAGAGCATTTCGCTTCCGGGAAACATCTAAAATGCAGGATGTTCTCCTTTTAAGGTTGGCTTGGTAGAATCTGACTCCTTTAGCAGGATCTTTGTGGCACTGTGCTGGGTCGAACTGCTCGTAGCCTTAGAGTCTGTTTGTGTTTGTTTGGTGAAGGTTGGTGAATCTCGTAACGCAACGTGAGGTTTGATTGTTATTAGTCGAGACTTCAGTGGTAAATGAATTGTACATTGATAAGTTTGCCTCTTTTTTTAGAAATGTATTACATTTTGTGTGCTGGGTGTTTTTAAATTCATTTAGAGTAATTCTGACGTGATTATTGGCTAGTGTATGATTATATGCATGGCTGTTGTAATAAAGGGGGTGGAGTCGAAGGCGGTCCTGTGAGCTAGTGATGGGTGTGGCCAATTAATGCAATTACCAGAGAATTATTTTCTATTTATGAACCCCATTGGGGAAGATGATTGACTTGTGATCCGCTCAAGAGCCGACCAGTAACCTTTTGTCAGCT